AGTTTTCCCTATCTGGTTTAGATTTTAGTAGTGTTTTGCCCCTGTACGTCACAACAATCGAGTATTGCCAGTCATCTAACATCGTCATACGAAAATTTTGAATTGAAATTACATGGTCCAGATCGAATGTTCATATATAGTTAATCAGGTCTTTGAAATTAACAAAGGACAGACAGACAGACGACAATACTAAATGACCTTTTTGTTAGAAAAAGTGAGAAAGAACAGAGAAATAGGCTATTGAAGAATATTCGGGTCTAGGTATGAATAGTAGGGTGAGTAAAAATGAATGAATAATAAGAAATGTGCATCAGAGTGTAGGGAATAGAGTCAAATAATAGAAGGAAATATTTATGAAATAAGGAGAAAATAAGGATCAGATTAGATGAAGAAAAGGTATTAATGAGAAAGAGGGATGGGTATGAAAGAATGATAAAGATATAAGTATGAAAGTGAAGTGTATGGAAATGAAAATAAGAATATATAGAAAAATAAATATAATACGTCTGGTAAAAATAAGTGGGAATAGGAATAAAGAAATAAGGAAAAATAAGCATAAAAGAGTAGAGAAATTGAAATGAAGGGGAAAAAATGTAGAGAAATAAGTATAAAAGGAGAAAGAAATCGAAATGAAAAATAGAGAAATAATTTTAAAAAGTAAAGAAATAAACTTTTATAAAAAACACGTAGTTAAAAATAAGTAAATATGCATTCAGAGATAGGAAAAGTAATTTATAAAGCTAAGGTATAAAGGTGATAAATAAATGTAATTTTATAATTTATAATTTATAATATATTAAATTAGATTCGAAATGATAATAAGAATAAGCCAATTTAATTTAAAGACAGCTAAAAAAAAGTTAAAAATATGAATTTATGAATAAAAGAAATTTAGCTGGAAATAAATTTAAAAATCTTCAATTATGCCAAAAAAAAAAAAAAAATTAAAATCGATAGATAGACAAACAATAAATAAAAAATAGAATAAAAATTGAAATAATAAAATATATTTATAGAAAAACGTGTTGACGAAATACAGACGTAACGCAAGATTTGTTAAAACTAATTTGTTCTATAATATATCACTAGAAAACAGTACTATTGCCCTGTACCTATCTGCCATAAGTCGTGTTATATCTAGAATTGGGGAATGTTTTCCCTGTCAGTTAACTGGTAAGACAAGAAGAGATTCCTGTCTTCATCCCTGTTATCTCGTCATCTGTTGGGTATAACTTACCTCCACTTGACAAATCCTGGATTTTCTGAAGAATAGTTATTACAGCAAAGTCATGTATAACCTGTATGATCCAACTCGATAGAGGGATTTCGTTAAATTAGCTTCTACTTTGTCTTGTAAGTTTTAAATGTGATATTATCAGAGAGGGGGGAGGTTTGATTCTAGTAAAAGTATTGAAAAAAACAAAAGTTTTTCCAGGAAATCTCTGTATTTTTCGAGTCTACGTCCTCCTACATATTCATAATACACTGATTAAATCCCTCGTGTGCATAAATTATGCTAATAATGGCCAAACTCATTAACATGTATGAATGTTAAGTGTGTAATTATAGTTTTAATGATAATTTTTCTTTATTAATTACATTTTTATGCATTTATAATTATAAAAATTCGTCATAGACAATGTCGTGTTAACTACTTTATAAATTATGTTTGTTTATAGCGCTTTAATCAAGAGCTTCGGTGTAATTTATATTAATTACGTTAAATTATGTTGTTTTACCGCTTAATTTATTGTTATAAATATAGGCCTACATATATAAATGATATAAAATTACAAAATATTGCTTAAAAATTTATAATTTATTATTTTGCTTAATTATTTTCTTAAATTATGCATATTAAATGTCCATGTTTTAATTAAATCTTTGCTAGAGTAAATTACTTTAATTACGTTGTTACTAATTAACATATATTACGATTAATTACCATTAGATGATGTAGTTATTTTCATTATTCTTTCGTTTATAGAAATAATTAATGTAGGTAAGTCAGGTTATATAATTTTCTACGTTTATTTTTTATGTACTTATGCAAATAAGGATTATTACGTGGGTAAAAATGTGTATGCTTGAGTACAAGAATGCGAGGCAATCATATAGTGTGTATAGAGAATGGAAGTACATAAATACGTCTATGTATAAGCAGAATACAGGCAAGTAGTTATGTATTTGTGTATAAGCTCGTGTATATGTAGGTAATGTTTACATGTGAATGTAGGCAGTATGTATTGTATGTGTTTATGCAAGTGCGTAGATAGTATATAGGTGCATACAAGTATAGGCAGTGTGATAGATGTGTATGTTTAGACAAGGCGCATATTTATTAAAGTATACTGTATCATTATATGTAACTGTGCGTGTAAATAATATAGAAAAACGTATAGATATATATATAAAGGCAGTATGTGCACATATACGTTTTTGTAGGAAGTTTACAGGTGCATGCAAGTATAGGAAAGATATGTATAGACAAGACACATATTTGTATAAAGTATATACTTGTATATACATATAGGCAAGTACATGAGTGTATAGGCATGTTTATAGGCACATAGGGTTTCATATGTACAAGCTTCATACCTTTTTGCATACCTGCATATATTTAATTAAAAAATAAGCTTTTATTGTGAATTTAATCATTATCTTCTAAGATAAAGACATGTCATCAAACCAAATCATTGTCCCAGGTGTATTTAAATCGAATGAAATTTGAATTAGCAATAATTCCAATTGAGATTCTCTGTTAATAATAAATCTTTGTTTAATTCTATGTCGCAGACTTGCTAATTAGGAATGCAACAGATCACTTGCAAGGAAATCGTTTTGTAAAGTTATTAGATATATATGTTTTAATGTTATGATATTAGAAACTAATTTACACCAATTTTTAAATAATTTGTAATTAATAAATATTTAAAAAATGTAATTATAAAATAATATTCGTTACCCATAAAATGACTCATCGGTTATAAAATAATAGGGGTTATCAATAAAATAGCACCAACGACCCATAGCCTAAATAGGTATTGCCCATTAAATGAGAATTATTAACCACAAAATAACAGTGAATGCCCATGAGATAATAGGAAATTATTCGTAATAAGAGACTCATAAATTAATGGTGATTATCAGTAAAATAAAGCATTAATTTTATTTTGTTTAGGCACTAAAAATTAATTTTATATAAATTAAATTAAGTAATAAACCAACAAAATTATATTCAGTATCATAACAAGAGAATATCGAATTTCAAATTTTCTGCAAAATGATCAGGTCTTGCAATTGATTCTGTAGCTCTTCTAATTAATAATTCTCAGATATTAGCTAACATAATTTACATATTAACCAGAAGATTTAAATAAATCTAACAGTAAAATTTACTTAATTAGTGGAATACAGTGTGACCACAGAACGTGAAAAGTGATAAGTGATGCTATACAAAATTACATATATAAGTTTAATATATATAGATATATACAATTATATATTAATTTTATTAATATATTATTATTACAGCTTAACTTTATACAATTTATTTTAATTATTTGTTAAAAAGAAGTCCTAGAAGACTCTTCCAAAAATTATATTAATGGAATAATAAAGGAGAATCTTTGTTAGATGGATAGCATCACAGAACAGTTGTAGATAAGAGAAGCAAAGAGGAAGAAAGTCATTTGCTAAGTGGACATTTAGAAAATGGGAACATAATGTAGATCATTGAATTTGGATTTCTGTCTTTTTGATAATTCAGGAGCTTGATCTTTTCCTTTTTACTTGAGATTTTCTTATTGATTTATTGAGACTAAAACCTACACAAATTAATTTTTTTTTCTTTATCCTCCTCTTCCTCCTCCTCCTCCTCCTTTCTTCATTCGAATACAAAAATCAATGAAACTCTCTCTAAATTCTTTTTTAAATATTTAAAACATTCTGGAATTTTTACGATCCAAATATATCATGCTTTTCTTTTATGGAATTTTAAGTAAGTCATTTACCTTCTTCGTGTATTTTTTCCCTTCTCTAAATATCTAAATTCTACACTTAATCTTAGATTTAATTAATTATATATATGCAGCTCCTGAATCTTTTATATAATAATTATATATTGGATCATTTTCTACATTCCATTATTCATGTACAGTATTATATAAATATAGTGATGCAAATTAGCGTGCAGTGATGCTTCTGTGATGCTGCATATCTATCATGCGAATTATTAGTGAAGCTGTCATCTGCTGTTGAAGCTTAGACGTTTTGATTCTTGTTAATTAAAGTAATATCATTTAATCGGTAAAATTTATAAAGAAATCTTGCTTTTAAAAATATAAAAAAAAATATCAAAGTAATTATTTGTGCTTGTTTTCTGTATTACAACCTACTCTAAACGATAAAATAATCATTTTTATGGAGGAAAAAATGATCATTTTGTGGATAACTCCTATCAATTTAAGGAAAATGAGTATCATTTTATAGATAACCTTCATTATTTTATGTGAAATTCCTTTTTATGGCTCCATTTTTTACATTTAAAATTAGTTAAGGTTAAAAAAAATTATAATAATGATGCATTGCTTCTTCCTTAATCAACTTAAAATAATTGCAATTTATTAATGTTAATTTTTATAATACTTAGCAATTAAATAGATTTTCTACTTAACATTTACATAAAACTTTACCATTTTGCGTTATTAATATTGCATTGCCTTTTCACAAAATTCACTTTCTTAAAATTAAATTATGCTTAAGTTAGTTTTCTTGACATTTATAAAACAAGCCACGTGACCTCTGAACAACTTCCAACAATAAAATGCATAAATTTCACTCCTTAAGAGCATTTTAAAGCACTTTTTATCTTACATCTACTAAAGTTAGGCAGAGATGCCGAACTTCATACCATACAAAAAAAAGCCCAACTTTCAGGGAAACGTAGAAAATTTTCTTTATATTTATTAAACTAATAATAATAATAATAGTGAACTTACAATTAACCTTTAGCATGATTCGTTTACTAACAGAAGGAGGCACTCCATTCGATGCTATACAGAGATATGCTCCCATATGAAGCCTGCTAGTTTTGCTGATATTTAGATATTCTCCATGTACGCTTGGCACTATAAAAATAATCAAGAAAGAAGTAAAGTTGAGTTTAAGCTAAGAATAGGAAATTAAACTTAAAAGAATATTTAATTAGAAAGTGTTTACACAAGAATAGTTTGTGACCATTGAATAATTAAACATCAGAGAAAGGCTGATGAGAATAGATGTTTCTCATTTCTATTGCAAACTGCTTACTTATTCAGGTAAATGCAATCTACTGAATTATTCATAAATTCGATTAATTTTTAATCGAGAAGAAATCTTCCTTTAAGTCATGTTTTAAAGATATAAGCAAAGGGTGAATACTTTACTTTATATTAAAACTTATTAATTATTAAAGTGCTCTTCAACAGTAGAGTAATACGTTATATATCATTTTATAGATGAGATGATGTTATAAATTATAAAGTTTATTTACTTTTAAAATTATTATTATTATTATTATTATATATTCTTTTCATTAAAATTTAAATATTTTTTTTTCTTCGCGTGTTTATGTATATTATTTTAAAAATATTAATTAAAATTAATCAATAAAAAAATTTTCAGATTATGTTAAAATTTTGATTAGAAATAGTAAATATATGATTTATTCTAGAGATTTCTAGAAGGTAATTTTTGTAGATAAATTTTTAAAAATTTTCTTGAAAGAGATCCTCATAGTTTCTCTACATTATAGAGTTTATGATAAGTAAATAAATAAATATAATAATAAATAATTAAAAAGTCGTTCGATTTCAGAATAAACCTTAGAAAAGAATTTATATATTTTAAATCTTAAAAATTCATTATTAAAAAATATTTAATT